TTTTGTATTGAAGCACCAGCTTGTGGGCTTGCCAATTAAACACATTTCTTATGAGTTTTTTGTTATACAATGTTATGTAATAGATTGTCACCTTCAAAACGTTAGGGACATAAATTGAATATCTTATTCAATAGGGTTATATAAGTTAATTACTTACAAAAGGGCATTTCTTGTAATATTTTCATAACAAAATAATAAATATATGCTACTGATTCCAGAGGAGGATCATGGCACTTTTTCCTCTTCTTCTAACAAACCTCTCTCTCTCTCATCTCCTTTTCTCTCATGCACCTGTGTCATTCCTCTTTCTACATCTTCTTCCCCTTTCCCTTCACATAAATCTAGGTTTTATCTTCAACTCTATCCTCACATCTCCTACGAATGAAAGTAACTACTGTGCAATATATCCAGGCTAATCAGTTATCTTCGAATCCTTAAGGTTCCTACAGAATCAGAGAGTCCATGATAGTGCCTCTCATAAGCTCAAAATACTTAAATCGCAGAGCATCTGTGTTTCACTGCCAAAGTAGAAAACGGGTAGGTCAGCTTGGTTTGTCTTTCGGACATCATGCCATAATACACCATATATCACGGCAGAAGAGAATGGCTCACAATTCTCAATAGAAACCTGAAGGCTGATTGGATGTCTCTAGCAATCCCGCCTATATCCCTCCATTTTATCACAACCAAGGTGGCAAGGTCCATTTACCAAAAGCTCCATTCATGCTCCAACTCAATGCACTCCCTCCATAGGTCATCCTCCGCATAGTTCAGTCTCAAAGCCCTTAATGAGCATTACTTTTTTAACAACTAAGAGTCAATAAATCCCCAATCCTCCTTTCATTGGAAAACAAACTACCCCCCACAAACCACCTCCCCTCTCAAAAGTGGAATTTAAGTCCCACACTAATCTTCACCATAGGAAGTCATTATGAAGCTCTACCAGTCTAGTAACTAAAAAGACTGGCATCTACAATAAGGACATGTTCTTGGAGATAGGGCATGGTACCCTTAAATAGGGTCACACTAACTTCCAGAAAATTATCCTTTTTTTCTGGTCAGTATGTTTTTCTGTAATTCATTTTATGACAGTGTATAAACATGGAACATAAAACAAAGAGTGCCCTGAAAGAGGTCGCAAAAAACCAAAGGGAACAAGAGGGTGACCTAAAATAAAATAAGGCTTCAGGGTGGCCCATTATAGTAGTGTGGAGGCAATTACAAAGTCAGATCTTGTGGATCCCACTCTAGCAAAAGAAGCTGTGAGCGTGTTCGACTCACGTCAATTACCAACAAGATTTACATCAAAATTTGAGTTTCTTTTATGGATGTCTTCAGAAATGCCTATGAATCTCCATGGCCATGACACTACTTTCTTGGCAAGTGCCATAAGATTTATTGAGTCCCCTTCAACTCTGAGGGTGCTCCAAGAGGCGGAGGCAGATGAGTATCTTTTTCTTTTTGCTACATTGGTTTGTGCAGGAACCTCATTGTACCAATTTGTATGAAGATATACAATAGCGAGGCATTTGTAATATCATATTTTAAAAATTCCTCACCACAAGCATCCCTCAATCCCTCTATGTATTTAGTCACCTCACTACATTTGCTCTATGTTATTCAGGGTCGACTGGGGGTTTGTATTCTCATCTTTCATATATGGATTTTTTTCTTACATTCCTGGGGGTTAATCCTTTATTTCGGGATGTTGTTCCTGTGTTCTCCATTAGTAAGACGTTAATTTCCCTTTACCACTGGTTTCTTTCTTGCAATATGGCCCAAATTAGAGTACGTAGAGGCGTTTCAAAACTTTCTTAAGAAATTATTTTTGAACTTCTAATAGATACAATTTGATAGGAAGTTATGGATGTTTGAGCCGGGCTATGGCTCCATTGTTGAATCTCCAGGTGATTACTTTCCAAATCTCACCCACCAAGGAACAAGTACTGAAGAGGTGATCGTGGTTTTCAATCTCAGATTTACATAGAAGTATTTCAGCAACAAAGGTAACCCCATTTTTGCACTTTTATCAGTGGTTAGTAGCCTCTTATGAGAAGCTACCCAAGTAAACCACGATGCACTCATGCGTTTGTTTTTTTCTGTATAGCTTCAAGTGTTTAATTTTTACCGCATATTCTCTAACCATTTCATGAGCTCATTTTGAGGTGATTTCTTCATATTCATTAAGCACCCATCTGAGCTTATCTTCACCCCTAGTCCACATATAGGTATTCCAAACTACTCGTAAGAGGAAGACAAAATGTATTCCCAGCCCAAAAGTGGGAGATAATTAGGTCTTCCAAGGTCCGAATTCCTTTTGATTTCTTCCCCATAGGGCAATGAGGAATGCCACTGCTGGTGCTGAACATGCTAGAGTGATGGTTTGCATATCAGCTGGCATCGAAAATAAGTTTTACCTGCCCAGTTGTGGTGGCATCACGTATACACTAAAAAATGTTTTGGATGCACAGGTCCATGATAAGGTGTTCCCGTGAGTTGCTAGGTCTGACCATGTGAAGCCCCAGAATTCCTTGTGGACTAGCACCCATTCAATGATTTGGTTCTTTATCTAGTCCCAGATTATTGTCAATTGCAAGCTCAGACCTTCAAATTTTCACTAGTTACATTTCCACCATAATGACCAGATAATGGAAATGATACCTAGCCTCCACAAATTACATCTATGGGGAAGAGAAGGCATTCTCCATTGTTGTAAAATAGGTTCCAAGAGATTGTTCTTCCAATTCCAAACTAATAACTTTGTGTACAACTAAGAAAAGAATTATCTACCACAAAATGGAAAACAGTATGTGCATGCGAACCATTAACTAGAAGTGAAGAAAGAACCACATACCATTAATACACGGAATGGAAGAAATGAAATACAACAGAGAATTAAGCGGGAGCACTAATGGAAATACCCAACTTTTCCAATACTACAAAAATGTATATCAACCAGGGGAAGATCAATATGTCGGCTCACCATAAAATCGGAAATAAATCGTTTTTATTTTAAAAATTCCGATGAAAAAATCGAGTCAAAAATACGGATCGGCAAAAATACTTTATGTAAAAATATTGCAAATATATCAGACTAGGTCAAAAAATCGAAGTGAAAATAACGGACACGTTTGAAATAAAATTAAGTAGAAATTAAAATAAAATTAAGTAGAAATAAAAAAAATAAAATGATAAGTTGCTGATAAATATACAATATTAATTTTCTAATTAAATTCTTTAACAAACATCACACATAGTACATAATGCAAAAAATAAAAGAAAGGGCAATGTGAGATAAGTAGAATTGATTTGGGTATATTCATTTCTCTCTCTGTATGGTGACAGTCCCTTTATAACCATAGTTAAGCAATGGGAAGATGTACACCTTTTTTGGTTAGACGAGCAACAAACGCAATAGACCAAGAAGAAACACAGAACAAGAAGGCAAGCATTATGCAGAGTGATAGAGAAGCAAACACAAAATCTTCCATAAAGATATACAGAGTGAGAGAGAGCATGCATAGGCACAGAGAAACAAGATGGAAATAAAATCTCAGAGAAGATGAAGAGCACGGTGGACATAAACCCTAATCCAAGATTTCCAGTCATGAATTAGGTTTGGGGATTGAGCCCTAATCTGGTTTTTTTTTT